AATGGGAAAACAGTTTTACTCAGCGCTACAGAAGGATAAAAAAATGTTGGCGTAACACGGTTTATCGCTAGTAGGAAATAGCCCCCATAAACCATCTCTTTTCAGTTCCCAGTCGAAAAACGGTGTGCACTTCCTTAGACCACATCCCAATAAAAGCCTCAAAACCATCCAAGTCTTTATTCTCACTGCGACCGGAAATGGTGCTGAGGCGGAATAGTTCTACGGTGATCTCAAAACCACACTGATCGGCAAATTTACGTTTGTTATGGAAGGCTCCAGTGCAAAGCGTGGACGAAAAAAGATGGAAGTATGTCGACAAATAACTCTTGTCCTCAGACTGCACGCACAATTGCTGCTGATTGGTGCAGCCTTAAAAGCATCGCCGATTTCTTCAAAATGCCGAAACGGAAGGACTGTGCCTACCCCTTCAATACCATTGTATAGACGACAACGACGCGCAGATGCGAAACTAGCCGATAACGAAATCTCATGAGCAAAAGCTAGATGTGACGGAGGACGATAGAGCGAAGTTATCTGACATGCCCTTTGATGACCATATAAACAATCAGATTCGCCACCAGATTAACGGTGTACAGAATACTACTGCGATTATGCAAGAAAGTAAAATCCGATGACCAACGCGTGTTGCTCATCTCACCAATAACGGGCGGACATTGGCGAGCGCTAATCGTGAAGAAAAAAACGAGCGCTCGGGCAACCTCTAAAGCGGTGACCCACACACATCGAACAACTGGTGGTTACTAACTGGGGGTATCAGCCTAAGATTAAAAGACCTGGTATAGCTGCGCCTGCCGTATGGGAGCGTAACACCACTAACGTGGAATACCCACAGTGAATGTCTCGGCTATTTTCGTATTTGTGCCTACTGGGCAGCAGCAATTTCTCCGAACTGTTAGTGAAAAAAAAAGGCTTAACGCATCGACCTAGAAGCAGAAGAGTAGCTCATTTTCGTTTATCTGCAACTTTTCAGTCCTCCAAATCATCCTACCAATCTCGAAACAAGACTCACAACATTTCCACACAGCATACTTGCCATATCAAGCCCTGTGAAAAATTCATACTGACATGCAGTTTTCAAAACAAGTAGAAACTTTTGTTCCAGAATAATGGTGCACAACTGTGCGCTCACTGAAAGTAAGACTCGAAGGGCGGCAAAGGTAAGTACTTACATCGAATAAGTTGGTAGTTGACATTGATTTCTGTGAAATAGATGATGAAGGCGGCTGGCTGGCATTGACAACTGTCGATTCAGCAAAATCTGAAAATATCTTGTAACAGGAATTCTCAGCTGAACAAGACTGGAAAAACAGCACGAGAACAATTCAGCCCACCAAACGGCGAGTAAGAACGTACTTTCAACCATCGCTTCCTCACCAATTTCCGTTTTCGGTGGAGCGCTGCAAATAATGTTTATGCCCATGCTTGGGCAATCCATTGTGCGATGCTGCCGAGAGTAGCAATGAAGACAGAGATCAGGCACATTTCGACCAAAACCTGAAGCAGTAATTATTAAAATCGATTTGCTCCGATTTATCAAGGAACACTGATGACAACACAGTTACAGTAATCTGTGCTGAGGGGTTTTTGAAGTAGAAATGCGGGACATCTCCAACATTCGCTATTATTTGAACTGATGCCACCAATTTTCGAAGCAGTTGTATTCTGTCAAATATTTTCTTTAATATCATACTAATTTCGATGGTTCGACTGTTTACAAAGAATGCTGCATAAAGGAATATATCAAATAAAAAAAGAAATGAATATCATCAACTATTTTAAATTCCCACCCAACTAAACTTTTGCGAGGGCCCCAGGGAAAGTACAAAAAAAAAAAAACAACGAGAAATGGAACAAACCAACAGTTTCTGGAGTGTCGTGAAAACCTGCGCTTTGATGGAAACGAGAAAACAGGGCAATATCATTTGGTGCCACTCTTTGAAACGCCGACGGGATTGGATCCGTAAATACAGCAGGTGGTTGAGGATACTGTGTTCTGGAACGGAAACACAAAATGCACGTATCATATTTGAATCTGTAGGACGATTAAATTCGAGAAATCTCCCTAAAATACAAAATATGAGAAATTTCTAAGAACAAAGGGAAACGACAAACCCAGGAGCCGGTTGATAGCTGCTAATCGCCGGCAAAGCTACAAAATGGTGGCGTCGCGGCAAGGCCGATCCTCGAAGGTTCTTTCGCACTCCCTGAAAAGTTTTCCTTATGAAAACAGCAAATGCTAATAATTAATAATACTAACAATAATCCACAACGAGTTGCCGGCAAAATCATGCATTTTTTGCACAACTATTTGTAAAATTGTCTGCGTCAACTTCCAGTTGCTCAGAATAAGATTAAACGGACTAGAGAGATGTTTGCGTGCACACCTAACCAAATAAGACCGTGGGCCGTGCTCACAAAATTTCAGCACCCTAGCTGCTTTGAAGGTGGAGCTACAAACATGCCAACATCAATTTTCCATATATTAGCATGTGAGGTGTAGGGAGAAGTGAAAGTTGATTTTATGCATGCTTAGCTGCACAGTGTTGCAGACCAT